CAGTGAAAGTCTGGCTCAAAAAAAAAAAAAAAAACTGCAATATGATACCATCTCACCCCAGTTACAATGGCTTTTATCAAAAAGACAGGGAAAAGCGAATGCTGATAAGGATGTGGAGAAAGGGGAACCTTTCCTTGCCACTGGTCAGGGCCTGGGACTGGCTTGGTCTCCAGCCCCAGCTTGTCTAGGTTCCGGACGGACACAGACCGCTAGGCTACCTTGCTCAGGAACAATTGCTCCAGTTGCCTGAGGGCTATTTGCTTTAGCAGAAGGGAGAGAGAGAGAAAGGCAGTATTTGAGGGAGTAAAGCAAGCTTGATAGAAGAACGATCTTAGCAGTCTTTAGCAGAGCTTAGCAGTTTTTAGCAGAAACACCGTGCTGGCGTTCTGCAAGCAGGAGAAGCGACAGAGTCAGAGTAAGCAGGTCCGTGATAGAATGAGCTCACTCCCGACTGCCTGCTCCTCCAGCCTCTTATGGAGCTGATCTCATGACTGTTACACCATAGGTGTAACAACTGCTGCTGCTCTGTCTCACGAGCTCTCATGTTTGTTAGGAGAGCTAAATCCCTCCCTGTGCCCTTTACACCAAGGCGTGCCATAATCGATCTATGCAGAGGTTTCTTTTAACTCTCTCTCCTCCTTGCTCTATGGGCTGCTACAGGAACCCTTGTACATTGTTGGTGGGGATGTATATTAGTGCAGCCACTATGAAGAAAAGTATGAAGGTGCCTCAAAAAACTGGAAATAGTACTATCATACAACCCAGCAAGCCCACAACTGGGTCTCTACATATCCAAAGAATAGAGACTCAGTACATCGAAAAGGCATTGGACTCCCATGTTTACTGCCACACAAGTCACAATAGTCAAGATAGGGAATCAACCCGTTATGTCCATCAATGGAGGAATGGATAAAGAAATCCGGTACATATACACAATGGATTATCTAGCCACAAAAAAAAAAGAATGAGATACTGTCATTTAAAAGCTCAGCAGGTGGGGCGCGAGCCACATACACTGGAGCGGGCAGGTTAGAATCCAGCTGAACCTACAAAACAATGACAACTACAACCAAAAAATAGCTGGGTGTTGTGGCAGGCGACTGTAGTCCCAGCTACTTGGGAGGGTGAGGCAAGAAAATCGCTTAAGCCCAAGAGTTCGAGGTTGCTATGAGCTGTAATACCACAGCACTCTACCTGGGTGACAAGCTTGAGACTGTCTCAAAATAAATAAAATAAATAAATAAATAAATAAATAAAACATGGATGGAACGGGAGAACATTGTTTTTTTTTCTTTTTTTTTTTGAGACAGAACCTCAAACTATTCCCCTGGGTAGAGTGCCGTGGCATCACACAGCTCACAGTGACCTCCAAGTCCTGGGCTCAAGCAAGTCTCCTGCCCCAGCCTCCCAAGTAGCTGGGACCACAGGCGCCCGCCACAATGCCCGGCTATTTTTTGGTTACAGCCATCATTGTTGTTTTTGGCCAGCCAAGGCTGGATTCGAACCCACCACCTTAGATGTATGTGGCTGGCACCTTAGCCACTTGAGCCATAGGCGCCTAGCCGAGAACATTGTTAAGTGAAATAAGCCAAGACAAACCTCACATGTTCTCACTCATATGTGGGAGCTAAGTATTAAAAACCATCTGGCTGGGTGTGGCAGCTCACACCTGCAAACCTAGCACTCTGGGAGGCCAAGGTGGGAGGATTATTTTAACTCAGGAGTTCAAAATCAGTTTGGCCAAGAGTAAGATTCCATCTCTACTAAAAACAGAAAAATTAGCGGGGCATGGTAATGCTTGCCTATAGCCCCAGCTACTCAGGAGACCAAGGCAAAAGGATCACTTGAGCCCAAGATTTGATGTTGCTGTGAGCTATGACGACACCACGGTACTCTACCCAGAATGAGATTCTGCCTCAAAAAAAAAGAAAAAATCTCATGGAGACGGAGAATAAAATGATGATTCCCGAGACTGGGAAGGGTAAAGGGAAGGGGGGATATGAAGCCGATGCAAAAATATAGTTACATAGAGTAAACTGGATGTGATAGCACAAGAAAGTGATTACAATCAACAAGTTAAAGAGTACACTTAATATACCTAAAAAAGTAGAACTGGAATGTTCCTAACACAAAGATATGTTAAATGCCTAAGGTGACAGATACCCCAATTACCCTGATTTGATTAATTCACATTGTATGCCTCTATTAAAATATCATATGGACCCCATAAAGATATATAACTTTGGCTCAGCGCCTGTGGCTCAAGTGGCTAAGGCGCCAGCCACATACACTTAAGGTAGCAGGTTCAAATCCAGCCCGGCCCGCCAAACAACAATGATACTCCCAGTTACAAGGGAGGCTGAGGCAAGAGACTTGCTTGAGCCCAGGAGTTGGAAGTTGCTGTGAGCTGAGATGCCACGGCATTCTACCCAGGGTATAGCTTGAGGCTCTGCACCCCCCCCCCCAAAAAAAAAGATATATAACTTTTACATACGTGTAATAATTTAAAAAAATTTTTAAAGTACTATCTCATCCTTCTGATATTTTTTTTATCCTTCTGATATTTCATAGAATTGTTACTGCTATATCAGAAATGAGGAAGCTAATCCTAGTTCTGACTCCTAGTCCAATGCTTTCTACCACTCCATATTAGCTTTCACCACTTTCTAATATGTGCCCCTGAACAAAGATCCTATAACTGAAAACAGCATCAATTATATATTACTATTACCCGGCTTAACATATGCACTCCAAGTCTTTATGATGGCCTTGATCAGTTTTCTCATTTCTACCTACTGCCAAATCCATACTTTTTTGTTTTCTTAACTAATCATATAATAAAGTCAATTACAAATTAACAGCACTAAAATACCATTTAACCTGGCACTTCCCTGTAAGCACTTAAAGGAATATTCCTAAGTGACTACTAATTGGAGATGGCTGGCTGGCTGGCTGGCTGGCTGGCAGTGGAAAGGGAAAGAAGGAAGAGAACCTAGATTCCTTCTACCAAACATCTCTAAAGGGAAGTTTGTAAAAGAGCAGCTGAATTTCTTCCTGTCTCACTATCCTGTTGTAACAAAGAATTTTAATGTTTTAAGAAAATCTGAGCTCCAAAAAGTACATGGAAGAGGTGGGGAACAGGCACATTTCACTCACACTGAAATTTTACTGAGATGGCTCAATCTCTCACTGAAAAATCACATTCTCTACACAAATTTAAAACTAGAGAATGCACTGAATTGTATCCACTAAATAGAACATATGTTCATGAATAAGATCCCAGAAAGATCAGTACACTGTGCTCATTTATCTCTAGTATACAAGTTCTTTTTTTTTTTGAGGCACAGTCTCACTTTGTCCTTCCCAGTAGAGTGCCCTGGCCTCACAGCTCACAGCAACCTCTAACTCTTGAACTCAAGAAGTTCTCTTGCCTCAGCCTTCCAAAGTGCTGGGTTTATAGGAGTGAGCCACCATGCCCGGCCAGTACAGAAGTTCTTAACCTAGGATAATCCAGAGATGCCCAAGAAGTTTTTGGATAGAATCCGTGGGGTACCTTCATTTGGATGGAAAAACTGTTTTTCTGCCTTTATTTTCACTAACTTCTAACTAAAATTTAGCTTTGTCTTCAATCACAAATGTAGGCAACAAAAATATCTGTAATACCTGTGATTTACTCACTAATAAAAACCACAAGTGTCTTCATATCACACTGTGGATCATATAGCAAACATCTCAAAATATTACTTACAGTCCTCACTATATCAAAATATTTATTAGATCCATTCTTCAATCTTAGGATTGAATGTGTCAATAACAAAAGCATGTATATCACAAACTTGTTTATTTATTTTGTTAATATTTAAACATAAGTTTCCTTGGTAATCCTGTATATTTTATTTCATACATTTAAAAACATGATTCTGGCTTGGCGCCTATAGCTCAACCGGCTAAGGCGCCAGCCACGTACACCTAAGGTGGCGGGTTCGAATCCCCAGCCCGGACCCGCCAAACAACAATGACGG